AGTCCACTTCGCTTATAAAAATAGTTATCTTTTGCGTAACGAAGACTCAATACCCTTGCAGACCTTTGGCAATTTACAATGCCTAAAATGCGCATTTGAAAAATTGGTGTTTGTAGATAGTATTTTTTTAGTATTCAGTATTAAATACTGGTATTTTAGTTGTCATTGGTTCGGTTCATGGTTCGAACCAGCTTACTGATGACAGCATATCAGATGACATATATTTTCAAAATTTGCAAAGTAAGAAATACAATTTGCTTCTATGACTGCAAGTGCTTCTGAAAATATGGCAAGACGTATTTACTACTTAAAATTATTTTAAAATATTATTATCTTGTTAATTATTAATTTTTTTACTGCTAATTCGTGCGTGTGCCTGCAGAAATTTTAAACCTCTGGCCGATGTTCGATGTGGAGTTCAGGTTTTGGGACACAGGCTCAGTTTTATGCGGCGCAAGCTTTTACGGAAAAGCGCGTCCACATACTGCACGGTAATGTGGAAAACGGTTCGACGTTGGCAAACCGCAGACCCAATGTGGCAAAAGACCGCAGACGAGCAAGTACCTCCCCAGAGGCGTCGTCGATGGCACTGGCAATTCAATTGACACAGCTTGGCGTATGCGAGGGTCGCCTTTGATATGCTGGACCGTGGCACACACTGAATGTTATCAGATGCGATTTGACATTTCCAATGGAAGAATTAGCATGCTCAAATACATTTTTCCTAATCTAATTGATTACAGATATTACAAATTGTAAGAAATGTGGCGTGCCAAGCTATAAGCCGAAACATAGTTTGAGAGCAAGCCCACAAAACGAGAATATAAGTATTTATTGGGCTTGGAGTCTGGGTTCAACCGCATGCGAAAAGGGTGTACAAAAATATGGATCTTTGTGGAGAAATATAGCTAGTGTCAATGATATGTTGGGGTTCTTTTTTCGTGACTGAGCGCACAGTAAAAAAGGCAGCCCTCGTTGGCATTCCGTTTGGCCCTCATGCGAGACAAATTGCTCACGCTTCGCATCATTTCATTTTCGAGCCGTTGATGGATTTGTCACTTTATGGTACTTGGAAGCAATGCTTTTTTCTTACACATAGATTTAATGTAAGCGCTGCTGACTGTAGTCGCAATCGCAGTAAGCCGCGGGTATAATGCTGCCTGATCCTCAATCACACAAAAATGTGCATTATGTGGCATAATATGCTCAGATATTGGAGCTGAACTACTTGGAATGCTGTTATGGACTTCTAGAAAGTAAAATCGTTGTGAAAGTAAAATAGATATAGATATTTGTTTATTTCTTCAAAATAAATACAGTATTAGTCTGTCATTAGGCATTAGAGTAAAAATTCATTTAAATTAAATGTACTTAATAATTATTAGAATTTGCATATTTCTTGTATGGAAAATAGATGCTCTACGAAATGAGACATTTTTAAATTATTTTTAAAAATTATAAAATTAATAATAAATAAAATGATAAAAACAGGCCATTTTTTAAAAAGTATAACTCAGAGAAGAAAAAAATAAGTTTTTATAATATAAATACATAACATATAATATAAAAGTTTAAGTTAAATGGTTAAAAAATAAATGCATAACAGTTCCAAGCTAGAATTAATTAAAACAAATTTGTCAATACAAAGAAAATGTACTCGAAGTTTACAGTATATTCAAATAAGAATAGGTATAAGTAAGCGTTAACTGCCTTCAAAGTATATAGTACATTAATATTCACAACTGCCTTTAGAGTATATAGTGCATTAATATTCCTGTCTGCAACAAAGCGTCTCGATCGAACCAATACACCCATTAGTATTGTCCCATGCAGAGCACTTAAAAGCCACCAACTGCACACGTCCAAAATGCACAAGAGGAGTAAATGATTTGGGGTTGGCATAGACGCACCCCCCATGGAGCCCGCCTGGTGAATGATGGCGCATTGCATGTGACAGCTACGGCTTCCAACTGGGCACGGCTCAATGGCAGTCAGTCATTCAGTCCGCCAGTCAGTCAGTCAGTCAGTCAGTCAGTCCACTGTCAACTAACTGCACTAAACTGTGCTCGACTCTGTGAGCGTTGACTCCCATTAGACTCTGAAGTGATGACAGGCAGGCCTCGGCTGCGGCTCTGATTCCGCCCTCCGCCTGCGACGCGCCCCTCTGCTGGACACGCAGCAAAATATGATTGGCCTGCTGTGCATTGCACTCCATGCGATCTGACCACTGGCTTGTTGTAAAATGCGCTGAACTGGCCATTTAAGCCCTTTATCTGTTGCTTTCAGTATTAATTAAATGCTTACAAAACCAAACAGGACGTGAAACAGGACACAGACAAGCTGACAACAGCAACAACGGCAACAACAACAACACAACAATCGCAAATACCCGTTGAACTTTTACATTCCCTCAACTCACTCATTCACTCGTTTTATTTGCGGGCAATTTTCTAGCTAATTTTCACTTGTTTACTGCGAAACTTTTACACTGAAAATAATCAAAGTGTATAATTATTATAATTAAAAGGGCACAAAGGGCACAATTTGTATACCATAGGGAGGGATAATTTGTGAAAATTTATGTAACAGGCAGAAGGAAGCATCTCCGAATCTCCGAATGTTCGATAATCGATAACCTGCCCCGTTTTCAAGCAATCGATAAAATTCGGTTTCGAAATCCTGTTTTTTGCTATCGAAGCGGAATTCTTAGCGGCGTTGGCAAGGTAAACTGGAGTTGCGAGTTCGAGTCTTGTGCAGGGAAGTAACTTTTTTAACATTTTATTAATGCATAATCAACCGAGCACATTACACGAAATGCATTTGCTGTTGGTAGAAGATGGTTTAAGGTATCCCCTAGTCGGGCACTCCCGACTAGAGCAGCTTTGCCTGATTCTTAATTATATTTAAATCACATGAAGAGCACAATAATAAAAATCTCTTCATATTAAAGAACTTAGAATAATCTTCTAAAGAAAATAAATTAAAACGAAAACATTTCAAAATATATAAAAAAAATGCTTAAGAGCGCAAGAGCTGGGAAATTAAATTTTGACTTACTTAGTTATCTTACGGAAAACAGATGAATTTGCTCTTCGATTGGCTTCTTTAAGAAAAGTTATTTGAGTCGTGTTTCACACTTTTCGCAAACTCCACCATTTCAGTGTGGAAAATGGGGCTCAAAGGTCCTATGGGCGAAGTTTCCATTTTTCACTTATTCCGAGTTCAAAGTCTGAACTTTTTTCCCATGGCTTTCGTTTAGCGATTTTTTTGATTGAGAATTCCAACTCCAAATTGCCTAAAACTGTTGCATGTAATTTTTTTTATTACTGTCCGATCGGATTTTAGCTCAGTTTCGAGAATTTATGCAAGCAACAATTTAACATGCGTTTAACCGATATTGGAAATGCGGGGTCTTAAGTTGTGTGGGTGAAAGTTGAGGTTTAAGTTTCGTCCTTAAACAATTTTTCACTGATTTCATTTTCGACGCTTCTGTTGAAAAGTGGGTATATAGGTGGTATAATGGAATCATGTGCCTGACCGCCTCTCTAAATGCCTCAATTGCTGAGACTACAAGATCTAGAAGTCGAGAATGAACAATAGAACTTTCCATATCAAAAACAAAACAAACTTGTCGTCTACTGATTCATGCAACACTTTTCATATTAAGCGAAATATTTTTAGCTTATTTTATAGAAAAATATTTCTTAATTTCACATTTTCTAGGGTGTATTTCTCTAATCTCGCGGGCTTCCTTTTAGATACACATACATATATATAAAAAGAAAACATTTTAAAATGATGTTTTGCCTGAATTGAGCACGGAAATATCCGGCAAGGGTATAAAAGGGACAGCACAAGAAAAGACAAAACGAATGCTTAAATTTTGGTATGGGGCCAGCTCCTTTCTTTTTTTTTTTTTGGTGCGAGGTTGGAAAGGGTGGGTGTGGCACGTGGGCGTGTGACAGACAGATATGTACAACCATTTCAGCTTTACAATCTCTTCAAATTAAATTGACCTACGTCAGAATTGAGGGAACTTTGACAACTGTTTCGGATCTGGGGAGGGTGAAGGCGAAGGCTGGCTGCATTGCGCCTTCACGTGTCTGACGACTGTCCCTCACATGTCTTTATTTTTTTATTTTTTTATACCCTGAACCCATTGAAAATGGGTAAAAAGGGTACTATGTATTTGTGCAAATGTATGTAACAGGCAGAAGGAAGCATCTCCGACCCCATAAAGTATATATATTCTTGATCAGCATCAACAGCCGAGTCGATCTAGCCATGTCCGTCTGTCCGTCCGTTCGTCTGTCCCTATGTATGAACGCAGGGATCTCAGAACCTATAAGAGCTAGAGACTTGACATTTTAGCTGTAGGTCCTCCTAGTGCCCGCGCAGATCGAGTTTGTTTCCGATATTCGATAACTTGCCCCGTTTCCAAGTAATCGATAAAAATCGATATCGAAATCCTGTTTATTGAGCAATTTTTGTAAATAATATGAGCTAGAGTCACCAAACTTGACATGTAGCTTCTAGAATAGTATATACATATATATCAAGTATCTTTCATTTTATACCTATCGCCTGTTGGAAGAAGCAGGCTCAGGGTATCCCCTAGTCGGGAGCTCCCGACTAGAACCTCTTACTTGTTTGTATTTTTTTTTTGTGTGTCCTGCCTAGCGCACGGACTCATTCTTTATAGTTTCATTTTCCAACCACTTGGGTCTTGCTGTCAAAAGGATTAGCTGCCTATTCTTTTCATTTTATTTCATTTCATTGCCTTGCTGCCACTTGACTTGGCTTGAAAAGGCAACCTCGTTGGAGAAATGTAAAGTTGTGCGTGTGTGAATATGGTTTTTCTTTTTGTTTTCCATTTTTGGCTGTCAACACTTGGCGACTTTGTCGTTGGCTGTTCGGTGTTGGGTGTTGGGCACCCCTCGCCGACTTTGATTAAATAGAGCTGAAGACCCTGTGCGTCTGTCTGAGAGTCGACAACCCTAGCTAGCTGTCAATTGCCAGATGAGGAAAAAAAAACACACACACAGTCAGTAAGATTTATTTGCCTGAAGTTAAAGCACAGGGCATCAATTCGAAAACTGTTCCATCAAATTGCCAACAAAATTTCGATTTGCTAGCTCGATAGCAGAAAGTGAACCTACAGGTAAGCAGTCCAAACACCTCACACCTCACACCTGACATATGTCTGCGATCTTCCATTGTGCAGTGCGCTTCCATCATGAACTCGCTGCGTTGCGCTGGTTTGCGTGTGCCTGGAGCAGCTGCAGCGGCTGTAGCTGCAGCGGCTGCCTGCCGTCCAAGTGCTGGCCGGATGACAATGTTGCCGGCTGTGATGCGCCGGTTCACCCATCATGATGGTACTCGTTGTATGAGCGGCGATCGCGAGGTCGTTGGCTATGGCGTCAATGGCAATCCCATTTATATTGATTGCCCCGATTTTCCATTTCCGGCCATACGCTATCGCGAGGTGACGCCGGAGATATGTGCGCTGCGCGAAAAGGAGCTGAGCGACTGGAAGAAGCTATCGTTACAGGAGAAGAAGGCATTATATCGCCATAGCTTCTGTCAGACCTATGCGGAATTTCAACATTTTACGCCCGAATGGAAGTTAGGTGTCGGCATCATTCTATGGACGATTGCACTTTCCATTCTCCTCACCTTTGCGGTCAATACGATCTACGATGAGCTGCCCGAGACCTTCGATGAGGAGCGCCGTCAGGCTCAGCTGCGTCGCATAATACACTTGCAAATACAGCCCATAGAGGGCCTGTCATCCAAGTGGGACTACAGCAAGAACAAGTGGAAGTAGTGTAATCTCTGCTCCAATTGTTCGCCACACATTTGAATGAAATGCTGCTGCACAGTAACATTACCTACCATACACCCAACCACCCACACACTCACACACTCGCACACACAAACACCCACATACATACATGTTGAGCTTCCTACAAAAATTGTCAATCGTTTTTTAAGCTTGTATTAAATTTCATGCAATATCCATGACGAACATTACATATTTGTGCTTTAATAATTATAGTTTCTTTTATATATCAAAATTATGTCCAGACACGTGGTAAGTTCTTAAAGCAAGTCATGGGCTACTTTTAATCAGCTCCCTTTACAGATGCTGATCGCTTTTGTTCATCTTTGGCCAAGATGCAGCAGAATTCATAAGTCTGAATAAACGGGGCTCCTTGGCTAGAATGGATAGACTTAGCCGATCTTTGAAGGTGTCCCAGAGGTAAGTGCCAAGTAGTTATCCTTCCAGTGCCAAACATTAAATACCCATCATCCAGTCACTAGGGTCTTTTGGGCTTGAGGCAATGTTTGTAGCAGGCTAGAAAAAGAACATATCAGATATCCCAGCATCAATAGCCAAAATGGTCTAGCCGTGTCCACTCACGAATCTCTAGCTCCACCAACTTACATATCTCTTTCCCTCTCCTCTCTCTTTCATTATACCCTTGTAGAGGGTATTACATTTTTGTCATGAAATGGGTAACGTTAAGTAGGAAGCATCTCCGACCCCATAAAGCATATATATTACAGTCGAGTTGATATAGCAATGCCCGTCTGTCCATCTGTATCCTCCCAGGTGAACTATTTTCTCATTTTTGATACTTTACATTGGTCCGTCTTTCTGTTGCAGGCATTACATGTGTCGGAGCTGGCCGGATCAGGCCACTATATCATATAGCTGCCAACTTTTTTGATTTTCAAGATATCTTGACCAAACTTGGCATTTATAAGTTCCACTATGCTCCCTACATATATTCGTTCGTTTTACGGTTTGAACCAATTCCCTCTCTTAAACTTTAGATTGTGAATCTTGTTTTTCACATTGTTGTTGCCAACCTTATGATATATTAACATAGAACTTGCGGGCGACCCAAAATTTGATTTTTGTTAGCTCTTTGTGCTTGCCGGAAGGATAGTCCCTGCTCTAAGATCCTTTGATCCTGATGTACTTAGACTGTACATCTCATCCCCAGTTGCCCAGAATGTGCTTTAAAGTCGCGTCCCTCTCAAGGAACCACAATCTTTAGTTTGTGTAGAAAGTTCTTGATGATACGTAGAGAGTTTTTGCAGACACTCAACTGTGCTCTTTGTCCGTTTTTGAATGTATGCACCCATAAAACATACAATTTCTTTATACTTTATAAATATCAGTTTGTTATCTGTGAATTATCCCACTATTACGATAAGCTAACCCAGGTCCATAGTAAAATAAATGCCATGAAATAAGCTAGAAATGCGCTTTATTTCAAACTTGCAATCCTGAACATATGTATATATATATATATATATGCATGTTATATATATATATATATATATATATATATAGATACATATTTATATACATAATATATATATTTATTTTATGCACATATCCATTTTTGAATTTAATTTGTTTGCAAATTAAATAGCTATCGTGTATCCAACTCTTTTAAATATTGTTTGTCGTTTTGATTGTGGTGTGGCGTGGGAGGAGTGTGCGTTAATTGGTTGTCGACTGTACTGTGTGCCAATACGAATATGAATGTACACTGCGAGGTGTACATGTCAAAGGTGGTTTCAATCACGATAGTATGTACAATATGCATATACATATATGTGTATATCCATATGACTAAATGTCCAGTGCTCGATGTTCAGAATAATCTCCAGTCACATGGATATGCCATGTGCATAAAACATCTCTTAGGTTTACATCAATACATCAATTTACTATATCACGTTTGCATGTAAATACATAGTTCTTTATATGTATATCATCATTTGTTTATGTTTACGCGCATTTTGATAAGATCGCGATTTGCTGGTCTTTTGCTTTTTATGGATAAGACATAGAGTGCTTCTTATAGACATAAGTACAATATATAATCATGTATTTTATGTTTGCACAAATTAAACGGGTTGAAAATAATGTGAGATGCATTGCAGTTGGCATCTCTAATACGATAAAGTATGTATATATATATTCTTGATCAAAATTCAGCCTAATTGATGAACATTTTGCCAACTCCAATTACATTCAAATGAAGCCGTTCTTGTTTTTTTAATTTTAATTTTTTCTTTGCTTAAAAATAGTAATCTAAACACATTTTTATAAAATACACTTCAAATATTTATGTAGATTTTAAATTTTGTAAACAATTTAAATTGCTAAACAGGAGATCAAATGATTGCCAAATGATGTTTTGAACTAGGATTTATGTTTTCTCATTTTTGGAATGCCAAATGAAAATATGATTTGCACATAAATAATGTTTAATTTACTGCATTTTGCAAATTTCTCTCGTGCTTTGTTTGCTACAGTTTTAAAGCATTAAGTACTGCAACCTGGCGGCATAATTAAAACAATTACCCAAACATTGTTAAATTTTATTTTGAGGCAAATTTGTTTAAGAGATTTCAATTTATTGTATGATTTTAACATATCAGCGCTTGTATGCTCGATATTCGTTTTTAATTTTTTGTTTTTAGTTAATGCTACCACAAAATATATTCCCATATACATACATATATATGTAGTATATATACATATACATATATATATATATATTTATTTAATCATTTATTTAGTTATCGACTACTTAGAGAACATCATTAACTCGAATAGTTCTTGGCAGTTATTTTGCATATATATATATATATATTTTTTATTTAATTTTTTAAAAATTTGCTTTTGCTGCTTGCACTTTTTTCTTTGATTTTCCTGTTGTGTGTTTGTTTTCAATTAATTTACGGTATTTTTGCGACATAAACAAGTATCAATATATATATAAATATATATGTACATTTATGCGCACATTGCGCAATGTATTTTATATTATTTCTTTCACAAATTTCATAAATTTGTTGTGCATATTCAGCTTTCAATTTTTAACTCCCGTCGCCACAGCAACTTGCCACACTCCACTCGCGTCCTCATCCTCTCACAGTACAGGAGAACATATTTTCCATTATTATTATAGTTATTATTTTTGACTAATTAATACAAAAATTAGCGCAACATCACACGTAAGACAATATCAATTTATGTGGCGCCACCTTGCGTCTGGATTTACACACATCGTTCTTTTATTATTCGCTCGCTTGCATTATGTAGTTTTTTAAATTTATTTTATTGGCATTCACAATTTGCTGTTTCTGTTAAATTTTTATTTTAAATTTTTTCCTTCTTATTTTTTTTTTTGCATTTCTTTGCGCTTGTTTTTGTTTTAAATAGTTAATTATGCATTAAATAATTAATTATTTAAATATATTTTTTTAAATAACTACTACATACATTGAAAAGGTGTAAATGTGTGAGTGTCTTATGTTTGTATATGTGTGTGTGTTTGTGATTGTTTATGTTTATGTTTGTGTTTGTTGTGGGTGTATTTTAATTTTGCATGCCGTATGCATTTAATTTTCTTCTGTTTCTTATTTTTAGTCGTTTTGTTGCATTTGTTACAAAAACATTTTTAATAATTTCTCGTTTATTGGCAGTGCAAGTTTTTTGTGTTCCTTTTTGTGTTGGTGGCAACCAAAAATTTGTCAAAAAACTCAAACTGTTAAATGAAAAATAAATAACTTTTCAAGATTTACAAATATAAATGGGCATTTGAAACTGTTTACTAGACACTTTGAGCTTAAAGTTTTATTAATAAAAGTTGCAAATATTTGAGAAAAAAAAACACAAAAAAGAATATATAAACAAATGAAAGACACGACGAAACGGCAACAAAACAAATAATACAGTAGTAGTTGGCGCTTAGGCCGGTAGATGGCGCCAGCTCAAGTTGCTGTTGCGCCCAGCGCAGAGATCTCTCCAAGCCCAGTAAAGCAGCGGCCATTTCGGAGGTGTGTGTTTGGCTGTGTGTGTGTGTGTATGAGAGAGTGTGTGTGGGTAGTGCTGTGTGTGTGTGTGTGTGTATGTATGTGTGTGTGTTTTGTTTGTTCTATAAGATACGTCGAGTTGTGTACTATATAATAGCATATAAATATTGTGGTACCCTAAAACTCGAACTCGCGCCTTAACTCGACCGATCAAACCGCCGGCACTCGCTGTCGTCTATCTCCGTCTCTCTCACTCTCTCTCTCTCTCTCTCTCTCTCTATCTGTCTCATTCTCTCTGGCACTTGCACTCGCTTGCTCGCTTCATTTAGCTTCAAGCCTTTTCACATGTGCCATCAACTTTTCGCTGTTGCCGCATTATTAACGTTACCCAAGCCGCCCGGACTGCCAGCCCACCACATGCCACATCACGCGCGCCCCATCGTCGACGTTTAGTTTCAATCCCAGCCATTCTCCTTGATCATGTGCGCCAGCTCAATGATGAACTTGCCCTCCTTGTATTTCTGACTGGACTCATACGCATGCTCATATTTCCAGCCGAGCGGCGTTTTGCAGCACTCGCAGTAGATATCAGCGACCGCATGGAGTCCAGTGAGCAGGACACGCTCCTCCGTTTGGCCGCAAGCGACATTTACCACCGAATTGAAAAGATATGCCGGCCCCTGGCTGCCCTGAAACGACTTCGAGATGAGCTCGTCGTGTGAAGCGAGATGCGCACGGCAATGAACACATGAGTAGGTCCGATTTGTGGACGGTAAGTAGGCTTGAAAGGTTTTCACCATTGTTGCTGGTTTGTCTACAGTTTCTGTTACTGTTGCTGTTGCTGTTGCTGTTACTGTTACTGTTGCTGTTGCTGTTAGTTTTTCTATCGCTGGCTTGGTGCCTTGGGCGTGTGGCTTGGCTTTTAGCTGGTTGTCTGTAAATAGTCTTGAACTACAGCCGTATCCGTAACAAGGAAGTGCACTTCTTGGCTGTCAATTGGTCCGCTGTAAAATACAAATAACATTAGCTCGAGTTGCTCTGTATTGTCAATTCTTAAATATGTGGCAGAGTTATGAGCAAACACCTTTCAGCGGTTCAGTCGGTTCACAAATCAAGTAATTCAATATATATAACTCACTTCTTATGAGCTCAACAAACTTTCTTCCCTTGTAATATTGTCTGGCATACCCCCGCCCCTCTGAAATCGATAAAAATCGATCTGCAATATATTCGCGTTTTCATGTATTTCTTGCAACAGAATATTTCTCTTTTTACATACTTCCCTTTTCTCCCATATGGCATCGAAGTGCTTTGGTATAAAAACTTTGTTTCTAACCAATTATTCCTATTGGAGTCGTAAAATATAGTGGACCGATTTTATACTGGTTTGCAGATACGTAAGGAAAAAAGTTGCTTGTTGCTTAGTTTTGTGAAGATATGTATCTAAAAAAAGCAAAAGTTTTTTATACTAAAGCTCATTTTTTGACTGATTCCTCCTACAGATTGCAAAAAAAGACGGATAGCTTTAAAACTGATGTACATAGAATATCAACTAATCGGTTAATCCTGATCAAGTAAATATATGCTTAATGGAATAGAAGACTGTCTGTCCTACAATCTTCAAAAGTATTCTCTGGTATTATACAAAAAATAACGTTTTGGATGGTCTTGATTGGATGTAGCTATTCGGATCTGGATTAATCTTGTGAACCTCTTATGAACCTGGCCATAGGTCAACCCTAGTCGAGGAGAGTTGCGGTTGAGCTGAAAATTGTTGGTTGGGCGGGGGTGAGGGGCCTTCTGTGCTGCTCTCAAGGCTGCCATATATCACGTCATGTGCCTCACCTGCTGAGACCGGATCAAATAGTGTCTCCTGCTGCTGCTGCTGCTGCTGTGCGTTAACTGCGCGCGTTGCTTACAGCGGACGGCGACGATGAGGACGACGGCGCCGCGGCAGAGGCAGAGGCGGTGGCAGCAACTGTGGCTGCTGTCATTGAACGATTATGTCCAGCGTCTGCCAGTGTCGTGGGTCACAGAACAAGCCACAATCCAATGTCGTTGGCTTTTGTTTGTGCCTGTGCCTGTGCCTGTGACTGTGACTGTGCCTGTGTCTCTGTCTGGTGTCTGAGCGCTTCGACTGCAACTGCGACTGCGACTGCTATTGTTCCACGTGCGTTCTCTTTTGCAGTGTGTATATTTATGCATATGTATGTGTGTACAGACGGAATATATCAGATTTCCTGCCAAAGACAAAAAGACAATGACAAAGCCAAATGATTGTTAATGTAGTTCAGTTTTCTGTATATACGAGTCATATACAAATTGTTGGAACAACAACAAAAAAAAGACCAAACAAAGCAGAGAGGAAGAAAGTACAACATGGTCGGTGCATTTACATTATTGATTTCCATTCACAAGTCTCTGGGCCAACCTACAAATGTGGCCTAATAGCCGACCAAAACACATGTCCTAAACAGTTTCGTAGGGGTTTGGGGGGCGACTCGGACTCTCAAAAGCAGAGAGCGATAGAAAGCAATAAAAAGACAGAAAGAGAGAGAGGGGAGGGGGGTAGATAGCAGTCAATTATAATGATGATATACAGGCGGTATTCCTATTAGTCCGTCTTTGGGGCTACTCTATGATTTATGTGCGCCTCATCGCCTTAGCCAGCGAGTCAGCAGAGCAACCCAAGCAGGCAGCTACCGATGCGTCCGCATTTACAGTAAACAGCTGCCTTCCAAAAGCGGCACCAAATGATTCATTCATAGTCCCCCAATCAACGCCACCTCCCGCACACTTGCCGCACTTGCTGGCGTTTGTGTGTAGATAGATGGCTCAATAAATACAGTCATACACCAATATATGCGATGCTTTGTTTAAAACCATTACGCATCAATTTGAACAACATAAATTAGTCCATTCAGTTGGTAATTAGCCCATACAAAGCATCTGGATATCTGAATGATTAACAAATCAAGTGTATTCGCAGCCAGCAAAACTTTATATTAGTGTATTCACTGTAAGCAGTAATTACATATTGCGAATCGTCCACAGACAAAATACATCTTTCCATTAGCAGTATTCTAATTACAACTATATCACAAAATAAAAGTAAAAAAATAAATTTAAAAAAAAATCTAAAATTTTCAAGCGGTTCTTTATATAGAGCTATATTTTCGACCAATATGTTAGTTGGTATATGATATATATATAGGACCAGGCATTGTATGGGGTTTCTGGATTTGTTTATGAAATACATATATTTTACAAATAATGCTCTCTGTTTTGAAAAATCAGAGAAAACCTGACTTTTTCACACAACTACGTTTTTCGCTAGTCTATAAACATTCTTTAGAGTTCTCTTATTCAAAGAAATTATTACGCCTTGCTTCAATTCCCTTTAAAACATTTCAAAAATATGATTTAAATACTCGAAATTTTGTAATTTCATAGATGCAGATGACAAAGCAATGATCCAAGGTCAAGCTTTGAACAAAGCGGACACTGTGCATCCCCCGCAACTACTCGCTTACGCAGGCGACTAATGCGAATGAAGTTTTAACAGCTTGAGAATTACAAGGAAACGTATTGGCCGAAACATTTTGTAAGCTCTTGTAAATATGTGTGTGAATGTGTAAATGTTTGTAGTAAATACATATATAAATTTGTATGTATGTAAACACTGTATTTTTCATAATTAGCACCCTTGTTGCTTTTTGCGTGGTGTTGCCAAGCCCTCAAAAACATAATCATCATCATCATTATCGTCGACGTAGACGTCGCCGTCTTGGTTGGGGTTTCTGTTCAATATCCAATGCAAATTGGCTGCTGACGCGAAAGTCGACGACTAAAACAAAGAAACAGGAGCGACCGGGTAAAGGGAAGGCGAGTGGGTGAGAGCAGCGCAAACAAAGAAGCAACAGAGGCAACAGGGAAATGCACTTGGCCGGGGTGGCTGCTGGCGCATTGCATTGGCCAGACAACAAAGCGTTGACTGCTACAAGTGGAGAGCGAGTGGGAGAGAAAAACACATTGAGCAAAAGGATGAGAGAGAGAGAGAGAGGAGGTGGGTGCATATAAAGCAGTTTCTCAATATTAATAAGCGTGCGATATTAACGAAACGACGACAACTTTTGGCGCCTAAACAGTTAATTAATTAAATAAGACGTTATTTTTGTACTGAAACCAAAACAAGCGCAAGCACACACACACACACGACACAGTCACACACAAACAGCAGAAATCAAGAAGAGCAGCAAAAAAAGAAGCTGCCGAAAATTCGCGAGTTCAGTGAACCAGCCAGTGAACCAGTGTGAATGAGAAAAGGAAGCTAAAAGTTCTTTGGCACCAACTCGCTTACGTTTTGATTTCTATTAATTTGTATTCATTTTTTATTATTTTGGTTGTTTTTTTTTATTTTGCGTGGGCCCGCCTTCTGCCTTCTGATTTGCGACTTCACTTTTATTTTGCAATCAAAAACCAAAGCGCGCTATGCGAAATGTAACAAGCGACTGACGGACTGCGTCGCTGCTGCGGTGCGCTGTTGGCAACTGTCGGCAGCTGAGGCAACGCAGCAGCGACGACAGCAGCAACGGCAGCAGCGACGACGGCGGCAACGGCAGCAGCAGCAACAGCAACAGCAGCAGCAACAGCAGCAGCAACACAGCAACAAACAAAGAAGTAAAGAAAACTGCAACACTAACAAAGTGGCATACAGGTGGCAGTGACGACTGCAGCGCAAAGCAACGCAACAAGCAGCGCGTCAATTGCAAAATGGACAAATAAATACATGTACATAGACAGTTGTATGTGTGTGCATACGCATATTAAATGCAATCAAGAAAGCAGAATCTGAGAACGCAGTCAAGTGCTTCATGCAATTACATAGTTCACAACAATAACAACGCGTATCCCCCTATAGGTGTGTAGGTGTCTGTGTGCGAATGCGCAAGGTGAATTCAAAACTCTATGTGCACCGCGCACCAATTACCGTTAGAAATGTTAACCCAATATTCTTGATTTTGCTGTGGCTGTGTTTCTGGTTGATGTTGTCGTTGCTGTTGTAACTGCTGCTGTTGTTGTTGTTGGTGCTAAGTGTGGGCATATAAAGACCGGAGCGCCATGACACAGCAACAGCCGCGAACGAGGTGGCGGCAGCATTGGGCATGCGTGCCACACTCACCGCCATAAAAATTTGTACATTTGTGATAAAACTCAACTTGGATCAAATCAAAAATAGTAATATATATACATATATAATGTAATAAAAAAGCATATATAAACCATGCTAATTTACAGTTTTTTTTTTCGAAAAGAATATGGTCTAACAGACTAGATATATGCATACATATAGAGATAGAAATTTTGCTGATTCATTTCTTTTTGCAAACTTTATATTGCTGAATAATATCTGCGTTATATATATTTAGATATACATATGTATGTATATAACTCGAATTTTCGAACTGAAGCTCAATAGGTTGTATAGTTTAGTAAATGATGTTTAGAGCCTGCACAATAATTTTAGGCCTCACTGTATTTTTATACAATGTGGCGAATAACGGTAAGAACGTCGCTGTGTTGCTAATGTATCTGTATCGTAGTGTGATAGGTTGTAGTTGTTGTTGTTGCTGGTTTTTGTGCCGTCGAGGTGACTGGCTGGTACTGCTGCCTGGCATTACCTTGTTCAATCCACATTCTGCACTCCCCCGGCTGTTGCTGTTGCAGCGGTTGGCGCTCACCAAGCTTTGTGCAGCTGATTCAGAATCGGACAACAGCATGTTCTTATTCAATTGACAATACGCATTTACAGTTATGTGTGTGCATAAAAACCTAATTTTGACCACTCGCCCCCAATCTCCGCATTCGTTTCTTATCGTTGTTGTTATTGTTGTTGTCATTTACCCGCTGGGCTTTCATTTTGCGCGCGCCTTAAACGTCAATAGAACTTTTGCGTCGTCTTTTTTTTTTACCCTGTACCCATTAAAAATGGATAAGAAATGGGTGTATTGGTTTTGTGCAGATGCATGTAACAGTTAGAACGAAGCAACTTCGACCCCCTAGAGTATATGCAAATGTGTGCTTGATAAGGAAGACGAACTGAGTCGATCTAGCCATTATTTTTTCGAAAGCTCTAGTAATATTTGTAATATCAACAAAAAATATTTTTCAAGCACGTATTTTACGGCAACTCCGAACTAGGTACAGGGTATCTGCGATTCGGGCACTCAGGATTAGAGGACTGTTGTTGTTGTTTTTTTTTTCTTCCAAACAAAGAGGAAAGCCCGATAGGGCAGCAACAACAACAAAAAGCCACACGCACTACACACAAACGCGCTCGGAGCACTTGGTGTTGTTGTTGTGGTTTCGTGGTGTCTTTCTTTTAGCTGGGGTCAATAACGTCAATGGCAATGCTCTTTAAGTTGCGTATGTATGTATATGTGTATGTGGTAACAAATAGAATTATGAATTACCGTCGAAACACGAGCACTGTATGTATATAAAGTCGCAGAGAAATGCGCGCTACTTTTGGGCAAAACAGAAAGCGTTTGGCACTATCTGTTAACAGAGCGAAAATAAAAAAACAACATCCAACAGCTGATGAAACAAAAATAATATTCTTATCAGACGGCAAAGAAAATAACAACACAAAATTTATTGCGTTGCGACGCCAGCGACGCAGTCGGCAAAAATGCTGCCAAGCGGGGCAGTATGTGAGGGCGAGAAAGAGCCACTACGGAGAGAGACTGCGAGAGAGAGAGAGTGAGAGAGAACACGATAGGGAGAAAGCGTAAACAAAAATACAGCGCAGAAACAGCTGTGTCTCTGTGGTGGCGTTGCCGACGCATCGAAACACACACACACATGCGCAATACAGCTGCTCTCTGCATATGTATATGGATGCGCATGGCTCGATACTCAAACACAACAAACAAACCAGACGACAGAGAAGTAAAGTCCTTGGCTTCCTAAGAACAGCTGAGACTGGAAGCAACAGCGGGGGCAACAAAAAAGGCCGCGAAAGAGAGATCAGATGAATGAACTTTAATGGCGCAGCTCTCTCTCTTTCACACTTGCTAATGTTTATCGCACTTCGGAGTTGCTAAAAGACGCAATTTGTTTAGCAGCAGCAGTCCCCCGCGCATTTACCAACACATGCAGTCACTATCACACACATACATATGTTCATGCGTATGTATGTTTTGTACGGGGACATGAAAACACAAACAAAAATTATGACAATAAAAATTCTTGTTTGGACCTTTTTTCCATACGCAGGAAACTGCGTTGCAGTGGCAACACTTTTTCTTATTGTTGTTTTTGCTGCACTGCCTGTGTATGTGCATGTATATGTGTCTAAGCGAAGGAGAAGAGGGAAAAACAAAGCTAGTGTACCTCAACATACGTAAGATGGTATATACTTACATACATATGGATTTTATATATATATATATATATATATATACATGTAACAACTACATATGTTAATGCATGGAACATATGTATGTATATACACGCAATTTCAAGCTTTTACAAAAACAGCAACAAATGGCAAATTTTGGCACACAAAAACGTATAACAACTTACGGTTCTGTTGCAGTTGCAGTTGCAGAGTTTTCTTGTGTTGTTTTGTGCGATACACAGGCACACACACACGCACACACACACACGCACGCAAACAAACACACACACACACAAACAAAACGAGGCAACAACGACCCACTCAGTAACTGACACTTAATTGTGGTTCTTCACACCGTTTGCATAATACTAATGCAACACTTTCGCATCATTAATATTTCTATCAATTTATTGAACCGAATACAATATTTGTTTGCGTTCGCTCATTTTGCGTGATTTTTGCTGTGGGGGCGCTGGTGTGTTTGCGTTGTGTGTGGGGAATTGTAATAGAGTTCAATTATTTGCGCAACTCTGGTCACACTCAGCACAATGTATCGTTATTGAAATATCGATACTATCGATATTCAGCAACAAAATTACCCAAAAGAAGTTGCTGCTGTTGCTGCTGCACAAAAAAAAAAGGAAAAGCACATAATTTTCACAACACAGCACGCGCCTTACGAAAAACCCAGGCGTAAGTAATAAATAGGCTGCACAACTGTTGTGAAATAATTAAAAATTGCTACCATTTTGTTAGTGTGCAAAGCAAACAACAATTTAAAAACAGTTGACAGGCGGCGCTGGCCCAGTGCAATAGTCGCTGCTTGTGTGAGGTAAGCGTTAATAAGTGGGCAAAACCCAAGGCCCCCTAACCAGATAATAAATATCTATGTACATGTTAATATACATATATATATATATATATATATATATATATATATATATACATATATATATATATACATGTATATATATGCATATATCAGTGTATACATTTCGTGCCAAGCCACAAAAAAAAAGGACAACAACACATAACTGGCATCCAATATCGCCTGTCCCGTCCTTGCAAATTGTGAAACTCTGCAAATGATTTTGATTGAATTAAACCAAGCAGCTTACTATTGTTTACAACTTTATCTAGCGAAATGTGAACAAATTAATAGCACAATTGTATTCATCTGCGTGTTAACTACGTACATGAAGGACCCCGAGGATGACTGTGCTGCCCACTTCAGGCAAGCCGAAACTATGTAGCTGGGTTGGCTGGAATTCAAGAGAGAAAAAAGTAGATTTCGTTTGTTTTGCTTTTTTCCTAGACATGAGAATTTGTAGTTATCATTTGGATCGCTTTACGCTTGATTTGCGCCAATTAATAAGCAGACATTTTCATTGTCATTTCATTTTCTTACCATATAACTATATTCAATGGCCTTTACTCACACTTTTCATTTTATTGCCTGTTCAATATCTCGACCTCGAAGTCAGATCGCAAAGGTTGTAGTATATCTGATATGGTCTGATAGTATCTACGACCAGTGTTTAGTTTAGTCAATTAGACAATTTCTTGACGCTCAATCAGCTCAATGTTGTACACTTTAAAGAGTAACAAAATTATTGAGCAATAATTTGGCTTAATTGAGTGCTAAACAATTAACTTGCTAATTAAGTTGCTAACATATATGTATATTGTCTGAATTAAAGCAGAGAATAGAAAAAACCCAACATACCTTCCAAATAGCTTAAGTTCTCGCTGTCCGCAAGTGGAATTCAGATCAGTGCACGCCTGTGATTGACTTTAGATTGACTGACTGTCTGATTGATTGGTGCTCAAGGCCCATTATAGTTATAAACGTTTTTGAAAGTTCCACCCTCAAGTGTGGAAAATAGGTGAAAACTACGGACCGAACGGCCTTAAACTCATTGGCAAGTATCTTTGTGAAAATTCATTGAAGATGTGCTTCACACTGTAAGACAAAGAGAAATAAAGAGAAATGTTTCAGTTTTAGAATATCCAAACTCCACCGGCAGGGGATATGAAGGTTAAGTAATGATTGTCTAAGCGAAAGTTATATTTTCGTATATTAATAGCTCTCTAAGTCGTAACTTACTGCTGAATATTGAATGGCCCGAACAAGGGCGGGTAATGCTCGCTAGTAGATCATATATAAATTTAGAAAATATATGTGCTAGAAAATATAATCGAGTTTTAATGTTAATCTTGTCTACTTTTTCGCAGAAAGCTGGAAGCATGTTGTGGACGGTGCATCTCGATGGTGGTCCGCAGCGCGTAAATCATGCAGCTGTGGGCGTCGGCGAATTTATCTATAGCTTCGGGGGCTACTGCACCGGGGACGATTATCGCTTCAATGAACCGATCGATGTGCATGTGCTGAACGTGCACTCGATGCGCTGGACTCTGGTGCCGCAGCAGTGTGACAGCGACGGGGATCCGCTCAAGTATCCGCTGGTGCCGTTCCAGCGTTATGGCCACACTGTGGTTGCGTACAAGGAGCGCATCTACATTTGGGGCGGCCGGAACGATGAACATCTGTGCAATGTGCTCTATTGCTTCGATCCAAAGACGGCGCGCTGGGCACGCCCGGCGGTAAGCGGTTGCCTGCCGGGCGCCCGGGATGGACATTCGGCGTGTGTGATTGGCAATTGCATGTACATATTTGGCGGATTTGTGGATGAGATCAATGAGTTTAGCAGCGATGTGCATGCTCTAAATCTGGAGACAATGGAATGGCGTTATGTTCAAACGTTTGGTGTCCCGCCGACCTATCGGGATTTTCATGCGGCCGTCGCATACGAGGAGGAGCGCATGTATATATTTGGTGGGCGCGGCGATAAGCATAGTCCATACCATAGTCAGGAGGAGACCTACTGTCATGAGATTGTTTATCTGGACATGAAGACAAAGGTCTGGCATCGACCCTTTACCGCCGGCAAGGTGCCTGTGGGTCGGCGCAGTCACAGCATGTTTGTGCACAATAAATTGATCTTTGTTTTTGGCGGCTATAATGGTCTGCTGGATCAGCATTTCAACGATCTGTACACATTCGATCCGCGCACCAAACTCTGGAATCTGGTGCGCGCCAATGGCCAGGCGCCGACGGCCAGGCGACGTCAGTGTGCCATTGTCATGGGCACGCGCATGTTCCTCTTTGGCGGCACCAGTCCTCGCTGCTCCATGCCACAATCGCAGAGCTCAGTGTTGCGCGGCAATGAGTTAACGCAGCCGCCGGCTGCGCCGCCACCGCAACAGCAGCCAGCAGCAGCGCCACCAGCAGCAGGAGCAGCTGCAGCGGCAGCTGCAACCACCACACTGATTGACTACAGCGATCTGCATGTGCTGGACTTTGAGCCCACGCTGAAAACGCTTGCCACGATGGTGGTGCTGAAATATCAGCTGGACATTTCCGGCTTGCCGCGCAGTTTTCGGGCGGATCTTAACATGCTGACACAGCCGAACAGTATTACCCGACCCATCAATCAGGCCGGCTAGCATTTATTGTTCATGTTGGAAATAGATAAAAATACAATCGATTGATGCCGCCTGGTGCTCGGATCGTCGCCCCCTTGTCGTTTTTCAGCGAATGCCACAAAACAAAAAACAAGCAAACAAAAAAAAAAAACATAACAAAGAGAATGCGTTAAAAAACATCATGAGATAACAACAGTTATTTAGCTTAATTTACATGCTTTTTCCACAACGCTTGATGGAAGCGGATTGCACTAGTCCCAGTAGTCGAGCAATGCATCCGATCTATTCCAAAAGTGCTCGAAATATCAAATGACACCACACACACACACACACACACACATGCATACACAGAAAGAGAGAGAGAGAGAGAAAGAAAGAGAGAGAGAGAGAGAGAGAGACACTCGCACACACTCAGACTCGCACACACGGACACTGAAACTAGTAATAAACAATGCAGTTTTAGAAACTTGCTTGGACTTACAATTACATAATTAGCTCTAGTTTGTAAAGTGTTTATATATAATTATCTTAAATAAAAATCGCATATTATTATTATTGAAAATACTGTTGGGCGTCGGCTAAAATCAATTTTTGCCTTAAACGCAACGATCTCAGAGACTGCGAGCTCGAGCAACAAAATTCGTATATATTCTCTTTAGTTAACTTTATTACTATTAACTTCAAACGCTCTGCTGCAAATAAATATCATTGTTATAGGTTATAATAACGCCTTTCTATGCGATTTTCATGGCCTCAAGTAAGGCTCGAAAGAAACAAACCCTCGTTCTCTTTTCTCTCTCCTCTCATCTACTCTCTCGCTTATCTCTCTCCAAGGTAAAACACTTCGCCTCTCATTCCTCAATACTCACACACCATTCCTATAAAACTTCCTCCCCCTTTCTCTTATATAAAGCTTTTTAAGAATTTGTTGCTGCTTCTCTCTTTTTATTAAATTTACATTATCTTACCTTCCTTTTACAAATATGTCATTTCTATGTGATTTTCAAATTTAAACACCTTTTAGGTAATGTGTGTAGTTGAATAGTAGTGTAGGCATGATTAATCCCAGTTTCTATCTCAGTTTATAATTTAAATTAAAATAAAAAACAAATAAATTGAACAAATATTGCTTGTTATAATATATATATATACAGATATACATATATACTTTATTATACGCGGAACATCTCATGCACTTATTCAACTAAGTATATTTGAATACAAATGGTAAGCTTATTTTTACATTTTCCTAACCAAGATCTATAACTAGCTATGTTCATCTGCCGAAGCTTGGCATCGCTGTTGCTAGCCAACGGCGCTCGTGTAGCCGCGTAGGGTCAAGTAGCCATTGATGATGTCCGAGGGCAAATGCTGCATGGAAGCGTACTCTTCGGCATTGGCGTAGCGCAGCTTTGAGTGCGGATCGACATAGGGCGCCGGTAGGCCGCTAATGTCCGAGTATTTCTTGGCTGGCAGCAGCGAGGGCGGTGCATTTAGCGTGAAGTCTGGTGAAGTGAAGCAAAAAATGTTAATAACGTGACCGCCAGAGTTTGGCCTTTTACACACGTACATGTCGGCTGATCGGCTGGCGGTTTTTGATTGCGCTCCATGTTGTGAATTTGACGCAGCGGTCGATAGACGCAGTTCCTGGGAAACGCAAAGGGGCGCTTAAACGAACGTTTGGGCTTGTGCAGCGAATTCGTATCCATCATTTTTGCGGTAAGCGCACACAAAATTGTGTAAACAAAAAAGTTTTGTACAATAAACAGCTGTTTTGGTGCGTGGTATCGATTCAACGACAAGCGATATATCGATCAAATATCGGCAACGGTCAGGTAGTTAGTGCTGAACACTTTTTAATGTACCATACTAGTTCATAAAATTGACCAATTTGAGTGAAAATATATGAAACTAGAGGTAAACCTGTTGCAAATGCATGCTGAGTAAATGATTTAATTTTAAATTCATTTAAATATTTGTAAAATCCGCATTTGCAAGCAGCGTACGTTGTGCACTAGCATGCCTTGCAAAAGCTGTAAAAGAACTAGTTTGGCAACTGAACCGAGTCACACATTCCTAACTGCCAGTCAGTCTTGAATGGATTGTATACGTGTGTGAACCAAAAAAAAAAAGAAATATAGATTAAATCTAATATTAAAGCTTACGTTTACGATGGCGCGCAATGCAGGCGGCAACAACAATAATGCAACCAAATCGAGCACAACGGGTAATCATCACCCGGCAGCCGGTACAGCAGCGGCGGCTGCTGCTGCGGCTGCAGCCGCAGCTAGCGCCAAACACAAGCGGAGCAGCAGCGGCAACAGGAGCTTCAGCTTCAATTTGTCCTCCAAACTCATGCTGGACAAGTGGAAGACATTGGTTGGATGCGTCTCTTTGGCGGTAGCCAGTTACTTTGGCTATTTGGGCTACTTGGAGACGCGCGTGAATACGCCGTTTGATAATCACAAGATGGTATTGCGCACCGGGTTGGAGGATCCGGAGCGATACTGGGGCACATATCGACCACACACATACTTTGGCATGAAGACCCGCGATCCACACTCACTGGTCATGGGTCTCATGTGGTATACACCGAGCAATTTGGGACCAGGCGGTCAGGGCATACGACACTGGTGCGAGCTGGGCGATAAGCTGGATGGTTATGGTTGGACCCATCACGATGGGCGCAGCTTTGGTGTGCAGGAGATACAAGATCTGCCCTTTGAGCTGAAGACCTCGTTTGTGAAGTATCCTGGTGAGAAACAGTATGGCGGCGACTGGACAGCACGCATCTCGGTGCGGAATACAACGCGGGCATGGGACCGCAGCATATCGCTCATCTGGTATGTGGCACTGGATGAGCGCACGAATGGCCACATCAAGTATGTATCGGATGAGAAGAGCCCCGAGCCGGGCGTCTATGGCGAGAGTCAGGGCCTCGGCGAGTTTCAAGTGCGTTTCCATGCGGTCAAGGGACGCATTTTGCACAAATCCTATTTGAGCACGGTGGCATCTGGTCTGAGCAAGCTAAAGGAGACCATATTCGCGCATTTTCGGGCGTTTGCAAGCAAGCGGGGCAATCGCTTTATTGGTCTGCCCGGCGAGATTGTCTCCCAGAACGGGGTGCCCTCAACGAATCCGGAGCCAAATCTAATTGCCATACAGATCACGGCGGAGGTTGACTTTACGCTGGACATTACCTATCAGTCGACATCAGGCTTTGCCTTGGGTGAGTCCATACCCAAGCCGCCAACCGGACGCGCCTACACAGACTCGCTGCAGGCAAAGATTGGCGAATTTGATAAACGTTTCGAGGACACCTTTCAGCTGGCCGCCAATGGTTATGGGCCCGACGAAATACGCTTTGCACGGAACGCATTTAGCAACATGATTGGCGGCATCGGCTACTTCTATGGAGCCAGTCGTGTGCAATCTGTGCACACACAAAATCCGGTGCCATATTGGAAGGCGCCGCTCTATACGGCGGTGCCATCGCGCAGCTTCTTTCCGCGCGGCTTTCTCTGGGATGAGGGCTTTCATGGCCTGCTGATTAGCGCCTGGGATGTGGACATTGAGCTGGACATTATATGCCATTGGTTTGATCTGCTCAACGTGGAGGGCTGGATACCCAGAGAGCAAATTCTCGGGGCCGAGGCGCTGGCCAAGGTGCCCGAAGAGTTTGTGACGCAGCGCAACAGCAATGCGAATCCGCCCACGTTCTTCCTTACGTTGCGCAAGCTGCTCGCCCAGCACAAAGAGCAGCTGTCGCAAAAGGGTCGCTTCGCCACACTGGAGCGTCTCTATCCCCGCCTCCAGGCATGGTTCAACTGGTATAACACCACGCAACGCGGTAAGTCTCTCTCGCTCTCTCTCTTTCTCATTATTATGTATGCGCGTTCTCTCTTTCACACACACACACACACATCTTCCTGCTGCAGGTGAAGTGCTCGGCACGTATTTGTGGCAAGGACGCAATGCCAGCACCTTGCGTGAGCTAAATCCGAAGAGCTTGTCCTCGGGCCTGGACGATTATCCGCGTGCCTCGCATCCCACATTCCGGGAACGTCATGTGGATTTACGCTGCTGGATCGCACTGGCGGCCAGCGTCATGGCCGAGCTGTCCACATTGCTGGGCAAGGATGATGTCAAATATTATGAGACTTTCTCCTATCTGACGGACAATGAGCTGCTCAATCGCCTGCACTTGGATCCATACAGTGAGCATTATGCCGATTGGGGCCTACACACGGATTCTGTGGCACTGAAACAGCCGCCGCCGTTGACAACGCAGCGCTCGGCTGGATCACGCGGCGGTGCTGCTCCACAGCCGCCACAGGAGAAACAACGCTATGTCACGAAGCAGCCGGATTACAAGTTTGTCGATACCATGTTCGGTTATGTGAGTCTATTTCCAATGCTGCTCGAGCAGCTGGAGCATGATTCGCCGTATTTGGGCAAAATGTTGCGCGACATGCGCGATCCGGAACTGCTCTGGACTAATTATGGCCTGCGCTCGCTGTCCAAGAACTCGCCCATGTATATGAAACGCAATACGGAACACGATCCGCCCTATTGGCGTGGACCCATCTGGATAAATATCAATTATCTGGCCGTAAAGGCATTGCGTCATTATGGCAAAATTGAGGGTCCCAATGCCGAGTTGGCCCGCAAAATCTATGGGGAATTGCGCGAGAATCTGGTGAGGAACGTCTTTAGGCAATATCAGCGTACGGGCTACATCTGGGAACAGTACGATGATACCACCGGCGAGGGCAAGGGCTGCAATCCGTTTACCGGCTGGAGCGGTCTCGTCGTCCTACTCATGGCCGAACAATTCTAATACCATCATCTCCGATTGCGGCGAGTTCCTCCTGTGATAAACTCACGAAAAAAACAAATATGAAAAATAAAACTTTAAAACCGATTCCGTGTGCACTGCGATGTTTGTTTAGCTTTTAGCTACTAGCCAAGTGTTTCTTTCCAAAGATCTAGATTCTTATTCGCATATATGTAGTATATGTACCACTGTGTAGTACGTACTATAATATCATGGATATGTACAAGTATAATCTTCTGTTGCCCGGGGTCAATCCCTCCGGCTGCTCTTGTAATAAGCTGTACAAATTTCAACTCTGACGAATTACTTAAAATAGCGTTAATAGATGAATTTACTTATAATAAAACGTATAGATTAAAAAATAAAGTGTTTTTTTCACATTTCCCAAATTGTCAGAAAATGAAGTTAAATATATGATAATACCTGTGAGTTGTGTAGATATAAGTCAAAATATTGCATCCTCGGTCTTAATTTGATCTCTACCCAAAATTGGCATCTACACAAATATGATTGGATTATTGCCATGGTTGAGGCCCAAGTTATCTATGCTTCGGTTCGGTTGTTTTTTGTGTAAGTGGTTAGCTTTATGATTCGTTTGATAGTAAAAACAATTAAAATTCCGATGTTTTTGGTAATCTGTATTTGTATAGAGAAGCTGACTCTTCCTCTTATCTTCTTTCACCTGCTTTTACTTTGCATTTCTTTCTCCGTTGAATCTCTTACTCTGTATTTAACTTATGCTCTCACTACTTAAGCTCTAGCCTCCGCTCTTTTGAATATTGCATTTCTATGCGACGTTTGTGAGTTACGCGTGGCCTAACAAATTTGAATATGTTTTTATTTTGAGTTGTGTATAAATGTAATATGCTAAGTTTTTCTTTATTGAATTATCAGTCAGTAAGTCAGCTAGTCAGGACAAACAGTTTTACATCTAGTGATATAATAAAGCTCTCTCTCTCTCTCTCTATTATAGATCGCTTTTCTATGCGATTTTCATGAAATTCAGTTCTATCTAGCACATATCTAGATAGCAGATATCTATTAGATAATATTTTAAAATGAATTTGTGGAGAGTGTGCCTGGATGGTAATTTTTTGATAAATTCGTGTTAGACCCCTAGAGATGTCCCAATTTATAAGAGATTTGCTTGTGTTTTAAAAGGCTCTTTTCTCTTTAATTAAAAATCAACATAAAGTTAAGGTTTGCTTATAAATAAAGTTTCAATTCCATTAGACGTATAAGAATTTCTAGTTTCACATTTACACAATACAAGAAGCTATATTCAATCACGCAATCCCACGCACGCGAACCATTCTCCACACACAGGAGTGTGGGATTAGAAATTACAAACAGCTAGCATTTACGGCTAAATTGTTTTTTATATATGTTTATAAAAGTATGAAAAAAATTAGACGAATTATAGTAATTATTAATTACTTAATTTCATTTGTTCGACAACGAACTTAAGGCTAACAAAGCATTTTGTATTCTGTATTGTATTATTCTATGTACCAAAAATAATGACAAAATAATATACAAGGCGGATTATTGCACTTAAGGGCTGGCTACCTTAAACGAGCGCGAGTTATAAAATTGTAAAGTTACAACTAGACGGAAGTACACGTTAGGATATACATACATATATTATAATGAAGTACATGGAACGAAAGTCTTATGGCGGCGCATTGTATCTGTCATACAATCGGATTAAATGTTCAATGCCCTCGTAATTGTTAAGATATATTAGTGATTAGCACAGTTATTATTATTGTTAACAATCGGAGATGGAGATGGACTGCTGGATCGTTTAGTCTGCTTTTTCATTTTTACTGGAGTTGCAGGCGGGACTCTTGCGATTACGTTTAAACGCCGGCAGGCGATCCAATAGCGCCCAAAGTATGCTGCCAGGCAGACGCTGATGCCGATTGATTAGATCCTCAATGGCAGTGGCCACCTGAAATGGCAAATCTCATTAACAAACAATCCTACGATCATAAATTAAGAAAGGGAGCAAGAACACACCTTAATTTGCAGCTCCTGCGGCGTCAGATTCTCATCATAGTCGATGGGCTTGCCCAGATATGTGCGAAATTTGACTGGAAAGCCGCCGTAGATGGGATACACGGGTATGCGCAATTTGTTATATAGACGCATAAAGAACGTGCGGAAGATGCCCACCTGGCGGAAGCCCTCGCGCAAGTTCTGTGTAAAGCAGGGTATTATTGGCACCTTCGCTTCCTGCGCCACCTTGGCAAAGCCGACACGATTCCGCCAGAGCAGCTCATAATAATGATCACCAAACTGTGCCTCATAGACGCCGCCCGGTGAGATGGCCAGCAGATTACCATCACGCAATATGCTGACACAGGACTGCACCGTGCCGGGGCTGACATGAAATGCCTCCGAGATGGTGCCCCAGCCGGGCAGCTTAAACAGAAATCGATCGCCAATTGTGTAGATCAGACGCTCGCGCTGCAGCAGCATCCGTGAATTCAGATAGTACATATCGATGGGTATCGCGCCATGATAATAAACGATCAACGCTGGACCCTCCTGGGGTATGTTATCCAAGCCGATCACTTCATAGCCATGATAGATGCGGGCATGTGCATCCCAAATGGCGGCCACAATCTTGCGGCCGACGCGCCAAAAGTTTCGATCCGTTTGCACGGATCGCATTATGACCTTCCTGCAAGAAAGAGAGGGAGAGAGAGAGAGAAGGGAACAGTGAGATAGCGAATAGAAGCAATTAAGCAATTAAGCGCGAAATCGTTTTACGCCGGTTTTAAGTGAAATTCACATATTTTGTGTAGAAAGTGGATTTCAGCTATTCCGCCCACTATAGTGGAAAATGGGTGAAAAACTGTTGCAAGAGTGAAAGTCAATTATTTGTTCAATTGGATTTTAAAGCTTTTCATAACAATTGTATTTTCGGTTCAATTAAAAATCGAAAGCCAAGCTCGAAATCGTTTTACGTCGGTTTCAAGTGGAATTCACATATTGTTGTGAAAAACTGTTGCAAGAGTGAAAGTTAATTGTTTGTTTAATTGGATTTAAAAGCATTACATAATAATTGCATTAAGAGAAATTCACCCTAACGAGCGAAAGATGGGTGAATATTTGATAAGGGTGGATTTGACAAATCCAACGTTGAAGATTGTGTAAACAATGTATTTTCGCTTCAATTAAAAATCGAATTGCAGTCGAATTAGATGAATTTGTTTTGGGACGTGGGCCCAAGAACTTTGGGGGTTTTATGGGCTGGTGCGTGGACTATCTGGCCTTATCAGTAGTTGCTAGGCGAGACAGATGTAGGTACTATTCGCATTCAGTTAATATCAATGAAATATTTTGTTTTGCACTTCAAGGCGTTAATTAATTGCAAAATTGATAATTTTGTTTAAATTTAGTTTTCGGGCAGCTGCAGCATCATCGTCAGCTCAGGTGTTATCAGTATATTGGCGACGCGTATCAAATTCTTCATAAATCAATGGGCGAACATTCTTTTTTACGAAGTATTTACGTCGCCTGTCTCTGATCGCATATAGTCAGAAGCCGGGAGCTCTACAATTGAGTCCGCACCTGGTCATGGTGACCCCCAGAACGGCCAATTTTCTTCAACTGTATTAAAAAGTCGCTGATAAGAAGGGCAAACAATTGTGTTGTGTATCGATTGTATGTTTGTCTGGTGGGCGTGGCATTAATTTGTTTGTTGCCCCCATTTGCCAACTGGCAAAAGAAATATTTGTTAAAAAAACAGACTTGGCATGTTAAAATACATTTGGTAATTTTTTGTGAAAATTTTATATAAATATGTATATATGTATTTCTCCCCTCGATATATCCTCCTGTTTCATAACATAGACTCTGAGAAATGATTCTAAAGCAGAACTCGAAGATTAAAAGAGCTAAAGCCATGTGCTATGGTATTCACCTAGATTGGTATGCCATATTAAAGTCCTGAAAATTTCATAATGATCGGACTGTAAGCACCGAAGTTAAACCAGCATGTATTTGCCATGCATAGTGTGGGGCAAATGGTAGAAGAAGAAGAAGTATGCGTATGTGTATAAAGAAGAAAGCTAGCATAATTGTAACGGCACCGGATTGAGGGCCCTTTCAACTAGAGCACTCGTAACTTGTTTTTATAGCAATTACCGTCAGTTCACTCATTTTCCGCATGCATGAGTGGATTCGCAAGCAGTGAGTTAACATTAAAACTGAATATAGACAACTTGGTTGATCGGAGACCGGAAGCTTAAAAAAACTGCGCCTAACTGTGCCACAAAATTCCAATGACATTAATTTTATGACAAATCGACGGCCAATGGCGCTGATATCATAAGTAGTTAGGTGCTGTTATATAGCTAAAGCTACTTGTTATCATAGAAATGACAGAAACAATCCGCAGTGCAAGTACAATGGGAGCAACAATATGATGGCGTGTCTTGGTCTGATTTGTCCGCTTATCGAGTGCGCAATGACGCACAGCTTTAATATGCGCCATATCCCCCTGTTCCTGCCCGAAAAGCGGGGAGGGGTGGTGGGGTGGCGCATATCGATCCCGTTTAGTGGACGCTAGTTAATGATACTAGAATGCTTATAGATTGTAGTGGCTATCAATAGTGTCGAGGTCTGGGCTAACTTATAGTTAATTAGCATTAGAACCGGTTTCAGGTTTTAACATTGCAAAAATGGCATTTGGAGAGCCATATACGTAAATAAATAATGCAAAGTCAGCGTCAAGTACCATTTACCCTAAAGGTGGCCGGGCAGCGGGATCGGGTGAGGGCTAAAGGGGGAGGGGGGTCTACTTTCAATTGCGCGGTTTACTCAGAAGGCAAAACGGACGGAAATTTTTGTATAGCCACGGCGGCACGATTTCGTCAGAGAGAGAGAGTTCAATGGCAGAAATGCATTGCCAGCGTATATTCTAGATATATGTATAAATATGTACATACACATGTATGTACCAGGTACTACTATATGGTATGGTATGGTATATATGCTAGCCTAAGCACTTTCGTGCCCTGGACTTACCTGTGCAGCTTGTAGATGAAGAGCACCAAAAATGATATGTAGATAAGCGCCACGAAGACGAGCGGAAGCAGGAATGTGACAATCAGTGGCGTCAGAAATCGATAGAGCCATAGCGAATAGTCCAGATCAATGTACGTAGCTGCAGATAATGATAAAGATACTATATATATAAGTATAAACATGTATATTAACCGGCAATATATACATTTTGTTATCTTTCATTTGTTGTCAACATTTGTCTTCTAATGTTGAATTCCCCCTTGATTCACCCAGAAGTGTGGAATGGTTTGAATCCGTTAAAGCATGTGATTCAGACAAACAGTTTTTCACGCATATTCCGCTGGTGTGGGCGGAACGATGTATAGAGGTTTGCAAACAAATCTACTTCTTTTTTTTTGAGATTCTTTCGGCTGTCAGTCAGTCAGTCAGTCCACACAGTTTTATATATACAACATATAAAAGGGGTGATAACAGGGCTTTAATACTTACACAACATACTTTGTGGGTTCTTCATGAAATTGGCCAGAAAGTCCATTTTGAGGTATTGTTGCGGCTGTTTATGGCTAAGGTTTCATGGATACGGTTCTCTCTTCTTCTTTCTACTTCTATGTCTTCTTCTTGTCACCGTTGCTGCTGTTTTTGTAAGCCAACGTTTGCGGCTGTTGCAAATGTTGGCCTAATTTTCACTTGAAGCTTACTTTCTTTCTTTGCGCTTTGCTTCTGTTGGGTTGATTTGGAAGTGGGTTCAGGTTCTCACCGGTTGCGTCGTCGTCGACGCTGTCTTTGCCTTTGTGTTTGTGTTTGTCGCTGTTCGCCCTCAGGTGTTGTTTTGATTTTTATTTGTTTATTCTTTATGTACGTTTTGTTATTACTGTTTGTGGTGTGCTCATTTATGCGATGGCAACTCATTACTGCTGGCTCCGGCGTTGGTAATGAGTAGGTGAGGTGGTGGTGCGCTCGCTAGGGTCTGTTACGCATTTACATACATTTAATGAAATGAAATTGTTTCATTGTTATTGTTGTTATTACGTTCTTGTCGCTATTATTGTTGTTGTGGTTGTTGTTGATCGCTTTGCTGCTCGTCCGTCCGCCCGCTTGCTTTATAGACAACTGAGGCCGAGCAGCGTCTGCCACATTGTGTGCTGGGCTGCGCGGTTTCTTTTATTAGCTGCTCTTTATGTTAATAATACTAGCGGCTGAGCTCATAAGTATTGCACGAGAGTTATTTGTTTTCATTGTAGAGATGGGCTTATATCGCTGCCACTATCGATAGAATATGCTCCACAAAAACAGCTGGCAACCCTGCACAGCTGACTCTCTATTTTGTTTTTGTCGCTTTAGTTGCGTTAGGGTTGGTAGTTTGAGCAGTGGTCAGGTACGATATATCGATAAGGCGCACGACTCTGACGCCGACTTTGATCAATTCCCTTTAAAAACCTTATCGCGCGCTATTATTAACTACGTTTAACAAATGCAGTCAGGTGCTGATTTGAACAAGATTTCATTTTACGTGTTTTACTTCGGAAAAACTTTTAAGAAATGTAAATTATCTTCACGTGCAAACACAATTAATTCAGAGGCTCCTTAAACGGGTATAAATGCTCATCTGAGTCGGTTCGATATCGATCGGTTACGATAATTGTCAAAATATCGATGAAAATACGATATGAGCAAAACATGTTGCTCTAACTTCTGTGTGCTGCACGTGTTTAATTTGGCATTTCGTGAGTTCTATTTTCTGTGCGTTGCACTCGCACTCAGATTTAACGACAATGGGTAAATTTCGTTCGAAATTGAAACGCCATGGCAAAGGCAAGAACTGGAGCAAGGGCCAGTCGGCTGTATCGAATCCTGAGCAAATGAAACATCGCCTGAAAGCCAAGTCGCGTTTCTTCCAACCAAATTTGAATCTAGGTAAGCTAAAAGCAATAAACACACCATCATTCCAAAAGCTATAAAATGTCTTTACCAACACGATATACAGCGCCATCTGGCTCCGCCAACGGACTTACCATGGACGCACTGCACAAACACGAACAGCGTCAAGCGTACAATGCGGAGACGACGACCGTTAACGATGTTGCCGGCAGCCTAATGTCATTTACGCTAGACGATGATGATGGCATGTCCGGCACGGGTACTGGCACCGGCACACAGCCTGGCACATTCAAGACCTTCCAGACCTTTGCCTCTAACTACAGTAGCTGCAGCAATATGAGCTTCAAGAAGCTTCTCACTGGCTTTCGCGCCTCATCCGATTTGCACAAGGAGATGCTGGCCATTTTAAGCGCCCTAACGGAAATAATACGCGAACGCGGCGGCACCGAATCCTCTACCGAATACTTTCTGCTGCTCATCAGCCAAATTGAAGCGGCCAGCGAGGAGCGCGACATCATTGCCGGCGTTGCGCTGCTCTCAATGGGCATCAAGTCTGTGCCGGCGCCGGTGCTGCGCAAACGCTTTGATCAGACAGCCGCCACGCTACAACAGCTTCTGAAGCGCTTCATTGACTCCAGCAGCCAATCCGTCATACGATATGTAAGTAATGAAACCCTGATGCTATGCTGATCAGTCAGAAATATAGTCTGCATACCCTGTTATGCCAACATATGCTGACCATTTGATTTAGATTTTACAAAATTTTACAAAATCTCTGCTTCACGTCTAATTGCAGTTGATTGGGTGCTTGTCGGTGCTGCTGCGCGCTCAGGACTATGCGACATGGACGTACAGCTCGACATTTCAGTACTTTGATGCGTTGCTCGCCTTCAGCATTCACTCGAAACCCAAGATACGAAAGGCGGCACAGCATGCCGTGGTCTCAATCATACATGGTAGCTGTTTTATGCTGCCACCAACGCCAGTCGACGGCGCTAAGGATGAGGATATTAAGGACGAAGAGCAAGAGCAGCAGCAGGCGGCGGCGGCTAAGATCAAGCATCATCCGGCAAGCAATCGTGTAACGAAATTTTGTCTGGCCCAATTTAAGCCCGAAGTGCTGGCCAATGCACAGACAACAGTTTTGCATACGCTGGCCTTGCTCAAGGATACGCTGGCCGGCTTTCGCACCGAGGATATACGCAGCGTTTGTGAGCATCTGCTCTCCATAATGACTGCTGCCAATGTGCTGGTGCGCACCAACTGCTTCCAGGCATTACACGCTCTCTTCCTTACGCGCAGCGTCAATTTGAATGCGACGCTGTGCGCCAAGCTGCTTGCTGCCATACACGAGTATCGGCCGGATCGCAGCGATGTGCGTCAAACGCTTGCCTGGATCACGGTGCTCAAGGAGGGGCATCTACATTTAGCCGCACTGCAATTGGATTTGTGTATGCAAGCGCTGCCGCGCCTCTTTGACATCTGCACCACCGATCTGTGGCTGTCGGACCGAGGCGAACTGGTCGTTGGCGTGTCTAATTGCATTAAAGAGCTGCTGCAGGATTGTGTGTCGCGTGCCTGTGCAACAAAGGAGCTGGCCGATCAATATCGTGCATCTGTAACCAAAATAATTGGCGCCCTGCACAAGGTGCTCAATGCACCCTTTGGCGAGATCTCCAAATATGTTATACTCATCTTCTCCATTGTCTTCGAGGCGTGCGGCAAGCACTTTGGGTAGGTGTACCGTCTACAGCTCTAGTATATCAATGTATTCTATCTCTCTCTCTTGCTCCCCCAGATCCGAGCTGATTGCCTCATTGGCCACCATTGGCAAACGCTATGAGAGCCAGGGCGCTTTGCGTTTGCAGATTGAGCACACGCTGATCAGCGCAATTAAGGCGCTTGGGCCCGAGCTGGTGCTGCGTGCGTTGCCATTGAGCGATGCCAAGGGGGAGCTATCCCTGGAGCGTTCGTGGCTGTTGCCATTAATGCGCGAGGGCTCCAACGGTGCCAGTTTGCAGTTTTTCAAGGAGCATGTTGTGCCATTGGCATTAAATAGCCAGTCTCAGTGGCGCAAGTATTCGTTGGAGGAAAAGAATCTGTCCAAGGCACACATCTATGAGCTTTTATGCTGTCAGCTGTGGGGTTTGTTTCCTGGTTTCTGTCGACAGCCACGCGATCCGGAGTATTTGCGCAAACTGGCGCCCACACTGGGCGATGCTTTGGAGCACAATCCAGAATTTCGTGCGCCCATCTATGATGGTCTATTGGAGCTGCTGGACGATAGCCAGAGTCCCGAATGCCATGCGGCCATTGGACAGTATGCGCGCAATTTTCTGCCGCGCCTGTTCAACATCTATACACAAAAACCCAGCGGCACATACGAGGCAGATCTACGGAAACGCGCTCTGGACGTGATACGTGTGTATATCGGTCGTGCGCCCGCCGAGGTTCAAGCGCAACTCTTTGAAAGCGCCCAGAGTCTGCTGGCCGAAAGCGCAGTTGCCAGCTTTGAATATGATGCGTACTTTGACATCAATGCGGCCATTGTTCGTGTCCAAAAGTGTCGCGGCATTGAGGCCTATTTCGAGAAATATATGGCGCCCGTGCTGCGCAACGACAAGTCCAAATTGGTGGCTCGCGACGAACAGAAGATGAAGAAGCAGCAGCGCAAGACATATGAGTAAGAGCAATTACACATCCATTTTCACTATCTACTATAAAATTATTTCATATGTGGCTTCGTTTGTCCTCTTACAGGCTGCTGCGCGAGCTTATGACCTCAGAGCTGCCCTCATGCCAGAAATTTACGCGCAAGAACTGCATTTCGTTGCAGCAGATACTTCTGGAGGCATTCAATACCACCTGCAGCGTTTGCCAGGCATCTCGCTTACAGTACGTAGCATCTATAGACATCAATTTATGACAGCTCACAAAAGCTTTCTTTGTAGAAAGGCTTTTAGTTTCTTTCTGACTTGCAATGCAATCATTTTCATTTTTAATCAATCAACAGTTGCCTCAAATCGCTGCTGGACTGCCGCAGCAAGCTGACATACAACGATCAGTTGGTGATGAAGGCCATTCCGGAAGCGGTGCTTAGTTATAAGGAGTTCTCGACACGCAAGGAGCAGGTGGCCGAACAGCTGATCAAACAGATTGCCACTCTGTATCAGGAGGCTGGCAAGATTAATGAGTTTGTGGACATCCTGACAGCTGGCTTTACCGGCGACGAATCGTTAACAACAAATACGATTCTCGCCTTTCGTGCTGTGCTCCAGCAACAGGGCCAACACCTAACGGTTAGCACATTGGAGTTTGTGCTACAGCAGGTTTCCGTCTTTCTCGTGCAGAAGTCCCGCCATCAGGCCGAGGCAGCCGTCGCCTTTCTCATCACATTCATTAAGGTGATGCCCATACCGCTGGTTGCCAATCATCTGGAGACGATTGTAAGTACAGCCTATCTATATTTGAATCAATTATATATCTAGCCATTGATCTCTTGCAGATGCGTTCCCTTTCGGCTATGACAAAGGATACGAAGCGCTATTGTCGCATACAGATCGGTTACTTCCTCAAAAAACTGTGCAAACGCTTTAGCACAGAGGAGCTGGCACGCTTTGTGCCTGGTGATGATGAGGTTACCCATCGCCGTCTCAAAAAGATACGCAAGCAAATGCGTCGTGATACACGCAAAAAGCAAAACGAGGAGGCCCAGGTCGAGAGCTCTGATGATGAGCTCGTAGGGGATCTCGAGCAAAAGAGCTATACGTAAGTTTTCACGAGAATTTCAACCAAGTTCAGCTTAAGCAACAGCTCCATAAACTATTTGCAGCATCGATGACATTTTGGCCGACTCGGACTCAGATTTGCCGGAGGATATGGAAACTGAGGAGGGCGGCACCGCTGCCAAGAATCGTACGTCCAAAACAAAGTCCAAGTCTAAGCAAGCGCGCAGCACCTACATACGCGAAGATGCCGATGAGATTGTCGACCTGGCCGATCTTAAGTCGATTGGCAATGTGCTGAGTAAGCTCCATGCTCTAAGCAAAAATCTGTCTGGCCTCTAACCAAATTTTTTTCTGCAGCAAGTGGCTCTGCAGCTGCTGCTGCTGCCGCGCCCGGCAAACAGTCGAAATCGAAGCCTCAGGCGGCTAATGGCGGCTTCAAGACCGCCGATGATGGTCGTCTTATAATTAGCGACAAGGCGCTGCGTGGTCAGAAAAGTGATGCCATTGAAGATGGCTCCGACAGCGATGGTTCCTCGGCGGATAGCGGCCATGAGCCGGGCAATGGCAATCCGAAGCGCGGTATGGAGGAGGACTCCAGTGATGAGGAGGAACTGCAGCAGGCAAGCAGTGCCAAGCGCAAGCGTAAGGCCAGCGATGCATTAAGCATGCGCTCGGGCAAGACCAGCGCCAGCACACGCAAGGGTATACATCGTACGCTCGGCGCCACAGCCGGACATGATGCCATGTCTGTCAAATCCGGTGGAGCTGCCAGCAGAGCAGCTGGCAGCGAGTACAGCAGCAAAAAAGCCAAGGGCGACATGAAACAGCGCGGCAAACTGGACCCCTATGCGTACATACCGCTGACACGAAATACGCTTAACAAACGGTAATTGTTTACTCAATCAATAACTTACTGTTTACCTAATCATTTATTATCAATTGCAGCAAACGAGCCATGAACTCGCGCAAGTTCAAGAGCGTCTTGCGTAGCGCTGGTGCAGATGGTAGCGAATCAGCAACAGGGAGACCGGCACGTGGCGGCGGCGGTGGCGGGAGCAAGCGTGGACGTGTTGGCAAAAGCTACAAGTAGACGGTAAACAGCTATGAAAACTGGATCATAAAGATAACATGAATAATTTGTATAATTTGCTGTTATTTTGCTTAACTATATATATAAAATTATATATGAAATGTATAGAGTAGCCCTTTATCGTCTGGGAATGCGGGGCTCTAACGCGACGGAAAGAACTACAAAGCGTCTGATATAATTTTATATGTTTATTTTTTAATAACTACAAATATAATACACATCTATAAATTTATAAAATCATCCGTAGAAACTAACTCTTTTTTTTTGCAAAACTGTTTCCCTTCATATACGAAAATATATGCTTATAGTTGTAATCCCAACTTTCAAAGAAAAAGTTATATATAAAGGTTTTATATTTAACAAAGCATTTTTTACTATTCAAGATTTGTTGTTATTATCAAACGTTATACATTCTGGTTATAACTAATAAATATTTAGTGTACCAAAGAAAATGGCTAGCATACGAATAGCTATCTTCGCGATGCTGCAATTTAGATTTGGCTAAGCGTGCTTTTATTTTCTCATATTGATTTCATTTTTCTTAAGTTTCATTCGGACTGAGAAATATTACGAAATAAAAACAAGTTTATGTATAATATATATTTTAGTCTTCTGCATTTAAAGTAACACATTCTAATCGCAAATATAAAGATATAGGCTTTATTATGCGTTACACGTAGTCTATGCGTGCTTATCTACATATATGGCATCATATGAGTGTAGTTTTATATAGCACTACAAATAATATTAAAATAGTTGTGCAAAGTCCATACAAATGTGCTACTTACGAGTATAATTAGAATACTTTTTTTTTGCTTGGATATGTTAACCAGATATAGGGTACAGTCTTAAGCCTATGGTCTGTTTATCTAGTTTAAGTGAAAATTCGTATTTAAAAATTAGTGAGAAATTTATTTTTGCTGTGCATGCCTTTCAAATCTCTGTAGTTCAACTAATATGGTTCATTTTAAAGAAATCGGGTTTTTGTTTTCAATATTAGCTGAGCTTCGAAATATTTATGGTTTATATATTTTGGTATTTTACCCTATTAACAAAATATACATGCTTACAGCAGCAGCAGCACGTAAGGACGTATTAGAGAAAAAGTCTTATGCTTAAATGTTTTCAAACTGTTTTTCAATATGTGTTCGCTCCCACTCGCCGTTGGGATCCAAGCCAGCCATGGTCTCCTCTATGAAATGCAGCCTATTGTTTGCATCGACCAGGATAAGAGAATGTGTGCGACTGCCATAGCCGTGCTCAGGAATGTGCACATTTAGAGCGCTCAGTCCCTCACCCCAGCTGGGCGCACGTCGTTTTAGCTCCGCATCTGGCCAGAATTTATGTTTGTTTTTTAGCAGCTGAAGCAGCTCAGCACTCAATGTGGCCACATCCGAATGGCCATGTTCGTTGACAATCTGTTCGAATTGCTCTTGGCCGTGTCGCACCTTTTCGAATGGACTGTCCGGCAGACTGTTGCCAAATCCGTAGCATTGCCCCTGTTCAAAGGGCATCAGCGTGGGCGGCACATTGCTCAGCAGCTTGATCTGTGCCGGCTGCGAGACGGCGCTAGAAATATTGATAAACGGATATTGATAGATCAACTGGCTAAATCGTATCAACACATACCCAATCTCAATGGAAACGAAATTGAACGCACTGTATTTGGTGCAGTCCCCCAGTAGACGTTGATTATAGTTAATAATGTTATGCTCGACATCGGATTGGCGCACATAGTCTGCCACGATCATGCCGCGTCCTAGTAAGAAATGTTCGTTATTTGATTGCCGCTGTTTGTTCTGGTTGCTGTGGCAGCTGTTCTTGGTATTATTATGCGGTTGCAAAATGTTTTTGTGCGCTTCGAAACAAAGAAATTTTTGGTGCGTTATCAGTTTATGAGTGATAAGGGATTAAGAGGATGGAATGGATTGGGTTATGTTGCCACCTGAATGGTTGTGTCTATGTGTGTGTGTGTGTGTAAGTTGCGTTTACCGACTGCATTGCGCGGCTTTGGCTCCCCGGTCAGATTGAGCAGTGCGCCCACCTTGAAGATGCCGTGTGCGCTGCCAATGGCCAGCCAGGTGCCACCTTCGCGTCCTGGCTCCAGGTCAATGCCTGCAACAATTGTAATTATTCTAGTGCATTGTTATTTTTGCTTATACCGCATTTACCCTCGGCACTTACCGCCATAGACGTGCTCCACATTTGTCCATTTGGCCGCCGTTTGTGTGTCGCGCGCAAAGAACTCGTCCCGATTTGAGGCCAATATGAGCTTATAGCCATTGGCGTTTGGCTGCGAATTGGCATAGAAGAATATGACACACATGCTCGACGCTCCAAATTTGACTAGCTTCTGTACTTAATATTAAATGCACGCAATCTTAGCGTAAATACAGCTGGAAAACGTTTTAAATCAGTCCCTTTGTTTATCAAGAAATTATCGCTGAGCCGAATTATCTTATCCGTTGTGCTTTATGCCACGGTCCCCTGCGATTGCTTGTATAAATATAGCGATGGAACCCCACAAAAGTCATCCGACATCATACTTTGCAATTTAGTTAATAAATATGCATTGGCTTCTATAATTTAAGCACACTCGCCCGTTTTTTATGTTTTTTTTTTTTTTTGTTTGAAATTTGCATTGTCAGCTGGAAAAGTTGCCAGCTGGTCACTGTGTATATCGGGGTCGATGAAACCTATCGATAATTTGATTGTTGCTTAGCCCTGGCACATGGCCGCCTGGTAATGATCCGGCAGCACTGCGCAACCAGTTGAATGCAAATGGGCCAGCGTCGTACTAGAATTTTATCAACTATTTTTGTTTTTTTTCAAGTGCAAAACGTGTGTTAATTAACAAAACCTATACACAAGGAAAGTGCATGCTAGGAAGCACAGTTGCAGCATAAAATGCATGAGCCGCAAGCCATTTTAAACAGTAATTTAACAATTTTGAACACAATTAAAACTAACACACACACACGCGTATCGCGTGCATAAACATATGAGCAAATCATAGAAAAAACCAACACAACAATAACAACAACACGAGAGCAACAAAGTATGTGGAATAGTGAACAATAATATAATTGATAAATTCATAGAAATAAAAATACAAAAAAAACCCGATTGTGCAGCCAGCCAAAGGAGGGAACAAACGAAACGGCAACAAAACGAGCCAGGCGCGATTTGTGTGTGCGCCTTGTCGTCGTCGTCGTCCCTGTGTCAATAGCCGCCGCAAGAGAGAAAAAAAATTCGTAACTAAAAATAGAAACAAATAGACAAAACCCCGCAGCCGCTGACGTTGGCGACGTTCGAACTTTGGGCCTCGCCTCCGTATTATCAAAGTGTTGGTTAGTTACCGTTAGCCTGTTGGCCGAAGCAGCAGCCATAACATAACAAACATATTAAAAAAACAACAAATAACTGAAAAGTGAAAATACAAGACATTTCTGTTGCTATTTTGTTTTGTTTTTAGTTTTCGTTTTGTTTTGTTTCTTGTCTGTCTCGCTGCGTTTTGTTTGGACACCAAAATATAGACTACAAATAAGAGTAAAAACAACAACAACAACAGCAGCAGCAACAGCAACAAAAACGGATCAACACAATGCTCTTAAAATTCACAAAAACCAGTGGAGCCGGCGGCGCGGGTTCGGGCACCAGTTCATCCATCCAAGCGACTACAACGTATGCGGTGCGCGGTGGAACAGGTTTGTTGTTTTTATTTTCTTATTTCAACATTTTGGCTTATGCCTTTTCTTCGCTTTTACCTCTACCTTTCGAATACTTGCATATGTATGCATACTTATACGTAAACTTACAAAAAAAAAAATCAACTTAGATTTGTGCTTTGATTTTGATAACGGCGCATTACAACAACAAAAACGACAACAATACTAATTACAATAAAACAGAGCAGCATTAACTTTAAAAGACTTGTTTGCCTTTGATTGGACGCCACGCGTCTTCTTCTTTTCTTTTTCTTTTTTTTGTGTGTCAACTCGCCCCCCCCCCCCCCCCCCTTTCCTACTTACATCTGTGCGCACGTTTTTACAGAATTCAAAGCATCGGCTGCGTCGCACAGTGGTTAAAATCGATAAAGTGCCCATAACTTTAATAGACAACCATTTGAATGAAACAATTCAGTTTTTTCTTTTCTATTTGCCCTTTCTACTGAAGATATCGGAAGCCCTAGATGTGTTCGTTTAGAAATTGATTGATAAATTTGATCTCTACCCACAATTGGCGTCCAACAAATATGTTTAGATAAATCCATTGGTTGGTGCTGGGTCTTCCTTAAAGGTTTTTATTTTGTACAAAATTAATTAGATGCCCGATTTTCATAACTGTTGTATTTCAATACTAAAACATTGATTTGGCACAGTAATTATGCTCCTAAATATACTTCGCTGCCTTCAATTATAAAATAAAATCGAACTTACTTTAATAGAGCGTTGTCCCACTGTGCGGAGTCGACTGCGACGTTGGCAGCGGTGTCGGCGCTTTGACTAATTTAAGTATGTAAGTATGTACAAATGTATGCATGTATGTATTTGTGTCTATGATTCTGGCACTGAGGAAGGTTGTTTGCGTAGCTTTTGAGCAGGCAGCACAACACACGTGGCAAAAACAAAAACAACAGGCATCGAGTACAGTAACTCGACCCTAACATACCCTACACGTGCACACGATGGTCTGCAACTACAAAGAAAGAAAACTCGGCGAAAGTACAATGAAAAATCAAGTGTAGTTAACTGTTTCGGTAGTTTGGGATGATATATGTACATATATGCATTTTTGTATAGTTTTGTCGAGAATATCTAAATGACAATGTCTGGACTCTGTAGTTTCTCAACTTTCAACTTATTTCGAGAAATTGCCACAAGCCCGTCTTTTTCCCAGTATTTATGACTTATTCGGCCGCATTGTTACATCATATACATATACATATACATATATATATATATATATATATATATATGCCATTGAAATTAGAGTTTCTAGAGTTTTAAGGTTCAAAAACATTTGTTTATTTTTAAACAACAATTTAAACATTTTTGTAGCTTTCTTGGGCTATCTTAAAGAAATGCATCCAAAAAATAAAAATAGAAGCTAATTAAATTTAAAAACAATGCTAAATATTAATGAAGTTAAAAGAGCACGACCCAATAATTGAATTTTTTTATATTTTTATAACTGATTTCCTTAAAAAAATTTAACTGATATGAATTTTATTGAAATATAAATTGGGGCTTTTTCTAAGCTCTTAAAAGAAAGAAAGAGACGGAGCGAGTCTAAGAGAATAAGAAATATGGAACTGTAAGCGTGAAAATTTTAATTCAAATCTGTTGAATTAAATTCTAAATCAAAATGAACTTGTCTTCGAATACCCATTTAATACCTCAGATATACTCATAGCAACTTTGTTGATGTGGTCCTTTGTTTCTAGTTGACTTTAATCATGGGCTTGACTCAGATACACTCCAATTAAGAATCAAACAGGGTATGCACGCTCGAAAACAATATTGTAAGACACTTGTCTGCGTATTGATTAGAAAGCATAATGGCTTATAAGGACACTTTGGGTGCTGCCACTTTCCAAAGCCTGTCGATTCAAGGGTGTTTGTTGTTTGTGTATTTTGTACTCGATTACCATTATGTGGCCGTTGCTGTCTGTGGATATTCCGCTCTTGGGTGCCGTTCGCTTGTTTGCCAATGTTCATTTAATAGAATTTAATAGTGTCTACAAGGTCGTGCTCGGAAGTGGCCACCTGGCGCGCATCCCTGCGCCTCGCCCCGCACCGCTCCGCCCCGGCCATCCTGGCCACGGTCCTTGGCAACAGCAGTAGCCGCCGGAGTAGCTAAACCAAGACGTGATGAAATAAGCCACCCCCCCTCCCCCCAATTACACCACCCCCCCGCCTGCAACTAAGCTGGGGCGTGTTTAATCCACTTGAATATTCTTGCCATGGTTACCCACAATTGTGTTGTTAGATATTTGTGTAAAGCTTTTCCTTAATTTATGTACATAATACATTTAAAACGCTGTTTTATTAAAAAGGCAATTTAATTATAATTATAATAATATAAGATATAAGATTAGATTATGAGATCATAATAATATAAGATAATTATAGTGAATAGACAGATATATGTACAATAGATTACTTAATCTGAATATTGCCTCATTTAAAACATTTAAATGCTTATTTAAGTGTACATTAATTAATATGAGCTTCTATTGTACTGCGATATTCAAGATCTATCGTTGCTCTTAAGAGAATTTAAGGCTCGTCCGTGAATCTCCCCTGCAATCTCCTGCAAAAGTTTGCTGAGGCTTAACTGTTTTTCCATCTTCTAGTCGAAGGGCATGTTTACCAAATTTTTGTGGTCTTCCAATTATTTTCACCCAAGCCTGTTGTTTTTGCGCAGTTGAACCAGCTTGTTTTGCACTTCCCGAACTATTTAACTTAGTTTGAGTTTCCATAATATCAACAAGCTTAAATTTGAATACTGGCTTTTTTAAGCATAACTTAAGAATATATCACTTTCAGGACACCAACTCCCACTCGAAGCTAGGTCGGGCAATCCCGTCTTGGACACTTTTGTTTATTTCTTAGCCCAATGCATATGCGTTGCAATACTTGGATGCATGCTAATACTGGCACCATGTAAATCTTTCTCAATGCCGGAGTGCGTCACTTGCATAGGGGATTTTTGTCTGGGCCTGTTTTCTATAATTGTTAGATCTGCAGTGCGATTATTCATACAGGAAGCCGCCTGAAATGTCTTACAATTTAACTAGACTTCTCTCAAGACACGCTCAGCCTTTTCTTTACATTTCCCTCCATATTACCCGCCAGTCTATCGCTAACGCTCTCTCTCTATCGTTCGCTCTCTATGCCAGGTCTCGTGATTTGAGTTAGTCAGCAACTGGCGACGACATGTTAGCCTTCACAGTCTGTCATCTGCTCACCGCCCGCTGCCCGCCCCCTCTGTGACTATATTAAATGCAATTTTCTGCTCACTAGATTTGTTAATGATCGAGGGGCGTTGTCGCGACTCTGTTTTTCAGGTTATATTGGTATGCAAAGCTTCAAGCGATACAAGCACATCGTCCAACGATAGTAAACCAAAAACGTGGCAGACCCAGCAATACTCTGTAAAGTTCATATGGAGCTGGTAACCGTAACTGTATATGAATCGATAAAAAAATATAAATTTCTTAGCTACAGTTTTCCCCTTTTGGAGATGAGATAAGCTATGTTGCAGCTTGGCTCTGGCGTGTCCATAAGTGTGTGTCTACAAGTTGCAGCTAGGTACAGGGTATCTGGTAGACGAAACGTCTCGATTAGAGCGCCGGCAGCTGTTTCCTTTTTGGAGTCGAGCACAATAAGCTCAAGTTGGCTAATCAATATAATTGTATTTGAAATCTTGCATTATTGCTGTGCGTTTTATATCGCCCATCATTATATCTGCCGCATTTTATACACATTTATATGCATATCTATTTTTCCGTTCCGTTGACATCGTGTCACGCGAAAATCCATATTTCCAACAGCTTACGAATAATTAGCCACCATGTGGGCAACTGATGATCTACACGAAAGATCGAATTGAAGGGTATTGCGCAGTCGGTTGCGTTTGGATGCCACATTCTTGCTTGTTGTACTTTAAATTCTACATACATAATACATGTGTATGCACGTACATACATATGCATTGTTGTATGTATGTACATATGTACGTATGAGCATTTGAAATTTTCGGCGGGCCCACCTCAATCAAATTGCTGTTGTGGCGTTCACAGCTAAGCGAATGAATAGTTCCAGACATCGCATATATAGAAGTCGACAATACATCATTAGATATTCGCATTGCCTCTCCACCTGCTGCTGCTGCTGTTGTTGTTGTTGTTGTATTTGCCCCCCTTCTAAGTCAACGTCAGAGTCAAAACAAAATGATTAGTGCTCATTGTTGTTGTTGTTGTTGTCGTTGTTGTTGCCGTTGTTGTTGCCGTTGTTGTTTTTGCTATCGGGTTTTACCTAGTGGTCGCCACAAATTAATTAAATACTCTTACCGCTCTGTGAATTTATTAGCTATGTGTCTGCTCAAGTCGAGGCAATCCTAGCTGCCCAAGTGCCATTTCATGAGCATGCCAGACAGCTTAAGTGACATGTCATCGGTTGTGTCCTTCTTAAATAAACATACTCAATGACATGTCTTGTGCAATGTCATGCTTTGCTCTAAAAAGATAAAGCTGGGGCGACAATACTTCTAGCATCTCATTCAGAGAGTACTGCAGAAGAGTTCCTTAAGAAAGTCGTGCAGGATTCTTTGTATATAATGCAGGGTATCTTCACTGATTTTCTTAAACCTTTTTTAAGGGTATCATGTTGGCTGCACTTTTGAAAAGTTTTCGTTTTGTTGTTTTCGTTCAATTCATTTAATACATTAAAGTAAACTGGGCTAAAATGTATATAAAATTGATGGAGGCAAATAAACCCGACAGCAACAATATCAATAAAATGCAATCAAAATCTTTATGGCAATCGCATAAAGCGAATTTAGTGTGGCCGTATTCTCATATTTCGACCATAAAATGACTCAAGATCAGCCGAACGAAATGTGGCCGAAAGCCTGAAGCTTTTTTCGTGCTAAAGCAGAAACAGATGTGAAATAAATAAAATTAAATATATATATATATATA